GGTGTAGAAAAATAAAATCTTTAAAGCATTTACAAAAATTTTTATTTTGAGAGAGAGATAAAAATCTTAAGTAGGCTCCATGCTCAGGACGCAGTGCAGAACAGGACATGGGGCTGGATCCCATGACCCTGGGATTATGACCTGAGTCAAAATCAAGAGTTGACCGGGTGCTCAACCAACTGAACCATGCCAGCTGCTCCTAGATGAATAAAATCTTTAAAAAAAATTGCACGAATGTAATAGATGAAAATATGTTCATTGTAAAAGCTTTTTTTTTTTCAACATTTATTTATTTTGGGGGGACAGAGAGAAACATTGTAAAAGCTTTTTTAAAAATTTTTTTAATGTTTTATTTTATTTTTGAGAGAGAGAGAGAGCATGAGCAGGGGAAGAGCAGAGAGAGGGAGACACAGAACTTGAAGCAGGCTCCAGGCTCTTCGCTGTCAACACAGAGCCCGACTCCTGGCTTAAATCCACTAACTGTGAGATCATGACCTGAGTTGAAGTCAGTCGCTTAACTGACTGAGCCACCCAGCACCCCCCTTGTAAAATGTTTTAATTTTTTTTTCAACGTTTTTTATTTATTTTTGGGACAGAGAGAGACAGAGCATGAACGGGGAGGGGCAGAAAGAGAGGGAGACACAGAATCGGAAACAGGCTCCAGGCTCCGAGCCATCAGCCCAGAGCCTGACGCGGGGCTCGAACTCACGGACCGCGAGATCATGACCTGGCTGAAGTTGGACGCTTAACCGACTGCGCCACCCAGGCGCCCCTGTAAAATGTTTTAAAATGGAAATATATACAATAAAAAGCAAAAGCTTCCCTCTCCCCCCCAACTTACTCCCCTATCAAGAAATCACCATTTTGGTATGTTTCATTCCAAATCTATTTTTGTATATTTACATACTGTTTTAGATATTGAGGATTTATTTTTTTATTTTAAATTGTTTTTTAATGTTTATTTATTTTTGAGAGAGACAGAGACAGAGTGTGAGTGGGTTAGGGGCAGAGAAAGAGGGAGACACAGAATCCGAAGAAGACTTCAGGCTCCGAGCTGTCAGCACAGAGCCCGACACAGGTCTCAAACTCACGAACTGGCAGATCATGACCCGAGCTGAAGTCGGATGCTTAACCCACTGAGCCACCCAGGCACCCCTTGAGGATTTTTTTAAAGATTTTTTTTTAATTTTTATTTTTATTTTTTATTTTTATTATTATTTTTTTAAATGTTTATTTATTTTTGAGACAGAGACAGAGCATGAACGGGGGAGGGTCAGAGAGAGAGGGAGACACAGAATCCGAAGCAGGCTCCAGGCTCTGAGCTGTCAGCACAGAGCCCGACGCGGGGCTCGAACTCACGGAATGTGAGATCATGACCTGAGCCAAAGTCGGATGCTCAACCGACTGAGCCACCCAGGCGCCCCTGTTTATTTTTATTTTTGAGAGAGCCAGAGCATGAGTGGAGGAGGGCCAGAGAGAAAGGGAGACAGGATCTTAAGTGGACTCCACACTGTCAGCACAGGGCCCGATGTGGAGCTCGAACTCACAAACTGTGAGATCGTGACCTGAGCCGAAGTCAGATGCTTAACTGACTGAGCCACGCAGGCACCCCTTAAGTCAAATTTGACTTTTATTGTAGGATAATCTGGTTGAGCCATTTGTTAGGGAAACTACTACTACTGCTACTATTTCTACTCTGTTGTCATTGTCTTCGTCTTCTTTTTCTTCTGTATTGTATTGTATTTATTTATTTTATTTTATTTTATTTTATTTTATTTTATTTTATTTTATTTATTATTTATTTGGGGGCACTTCTGACCCTAACTCCATTTCATCTGTCTGGTTCAATAGAATCAGGGAGGAGAACTGCTAATCTGTGAATTCAGCATTAACCTATGTATAAAATCACTTAATCCCCTTGTTTTTTACTATAGTACTTATGCCCTCAACAGTTTCTGGTGTCTCTTCATCAAGAGATGCCTGTTTTATCCTCTTGAGGGAAAAAGCTGCAGACTTCTGCCAAAATTGGGAAGTTAGGGAAGGTAGTCATCTAGGTGTGGAATGGGGCGTCTAGGGATGCACCAGCTTCTTAAACAGCTTTCACTCAGTTTTTCTTATTTTATCCATTCCATTTGCCACTTACCCCCAGTTCTACAGGTACTTAGTGTGGCCAGTTTTTGCTTATTTAGAGGATTCTTTTGTATATATTGGGTTTGTTCTCAGCTTTCCTCACTGTTGGTTTAAGACTTGGCTTTCTGTGTCCTGCTACTTCAGTTGCGACTCCATCATCTACTTTGTGTCGCCTTTTTTCTGCCTCTCTTTCAGTTATTATTTTAAAATATTCCCTTTACCATTGCCTGGCAGGGTTTCTGGAGGGAGCAAGTTGAATGTGTTCAATTTGCCCTCTAAACCTGGAAGTCTCACTTATTCTTTCTTTCTTTCTTTCTTTCTTTCTTTCTTTTTTTCTTTCTTTCTTTCTCTCTCTCTCTCTCTCTCTCTCTCTCTCTCTCTCTCTTTCTCTTTTCTGGTTTTATAGATTTATTTTCAAAGGGTAAAACAGACAATTTAAATACAAGTCTATTTTGCCCATTGGATACTCTTTTCTGCTTTGTTGAAGATCAATTGGCCATATTTGTGTAGGCCCATTTCTGGGTTCTCTATTCTATTTTGTTGATCTATGTGTCTGTTTTTCTGCCAATACCATACTGTCTTGATGGTTACAGCTTTGTAATACAAGTTAAAGTCCAGGATTGTGATGCCTCCAGCTTTGGTTATCTTTTTCAACATTTCTTTGGCTATTCAGGTTTTTTTGTGGTTCCGTACAAATTTTAGGATTGTTTAGGATGCTGTTATTTTGATTGGGATTGCATTGAATGTGTAGATTGCTTGGGTAGTATTGACATTTTAACCATATTTTTTCTTCAAATCCATTAGCATGGAATGTTTTTCCATTTTTTTGTGTCTTCTTCAATTTCTTTCATAGGCTTTCTATAGTTTTCAATGTACAGATCTTTTACCTGTTTGGTTAGGTTTATTCCTAAGTATTTTATGGGTTTTGGTATAATTGTAATTGGGATCGATTCCTTGATACCACTTTCTGTTGCTTCATTATTGGTGTATAGAAATGCAACTAATTTATGTCCATTGATTTTATATCCTGCGACTTTGCTGAATTCATGTATCAGCTCTAGCAGTTTTTTGGTGTCTTTCAGGTTTTCCCTGTAGAGTATCAGATGACATGATACATGTAGAGTGAAAGTTTGACTTCTTCCTTTTTGTTGTCTGATTGCTGAGGCTAGGACTTCCAACACTATGTTGAACAACAGTGGTGAGGGTGGACATCCTTGTTGTGTTCTGATTGTAGGAGGAAAGCCCTCAGTTTTTCCCCATTGAGGATGATATTAGCTATGGGCCTTTCATATAAGACTTTTATGATGTTAAGATATGTTCCTTCTATCCCTATTTTCTTGAGGGTTTTTATCAAGAAAGGATGCTGTATTTTGTCAAATGCTTTTTCTCCATCTATTGAAAGGATCATATGGTTCTTATCCTTTCTTTTATTAATGTGATGTATCATGTTAATCGATTTGAGAATATTGAACCAACCCTGAAACCCAGGAATGAATCCCGCTTGATTATGGTGAAGAACTATTTTTAATGTACTGTTGAATTTGATTTGCTGCTATCTTGTTGAGAATTTTTGCATCCATGTTCATCAGGGAAATTGGCTTGTAATTCTCCTTTTTAGTGGGGTCTTTTTCTGGTTTTGGAATCAAGGTAATGCTGGCTTCATAGAATGAGTTTGGAAGCTTTCCTTGAGAAACTCAACAGATGAACATAGGGGAAGGGAAGGAAAAATAAGATAAAAACAGAGAGGGAGGTAAACCATAAGAGACTCTTAAATACAGAGAACAAACTAAGGGTTGCTGGAGGGGTGGGGGTGGGGGTATGGCTTAAATGGGTGATGGGGATTTAGGAAGATACTTTTCTGAAAGAGCACTGAGTTCAGATGTAAGGGATGAATAACTGGGTTCTACTCCTGAAGCCACGACTACACTGTATGTTAACTAATTTGAATTTAAGTAAAATTTAAGAAGTAAAATAAAATAAAATACAAGTCAAAACAGAATTTCTCTGTCAAAGGCAACAATAATGCCAAAACACATTCTCAGTTCCAGACACTTGCTAGCATCTTTTGGGTCTTCTCTAAGAGAAAAAAGACATCTGATATTTTATTCATAACCGAAAATAATTTCGGTTTGCTAGCATAATTCGTTCTTTAAACATGTTTTTAATCCAAAGCACTTATATATCAAAGCAAATTTCCCCATAAGAAATCATGGAAACTCAGATGATTCGTTGCCAACTCAAAAATATTCCTATAAAAATGATTAAAATACTGTATGTAGTATAATAAAAAATAAAAAATATAAAGAAAAATAAATTAACCTGCACTTAGCTTTGAAAACCTTCGTGGCTGGTGTGAGGGAGACAGGAGAGAGGAGGGTTATTGTGTAGGATGACTTTCACTATCACTAATGGAATCACTGCTATCTATTGGCTCAGTGGAATCTTTTTCTACATAGGGGCCATTATATATGCTCACATGGATGTTTACTACAGTACAGTATTAATAAACTCCTGTCATATGCTGTATTTAATGTAACTGGCAATAAGGCAGCAGAGGAAAGGATCATTACCTGCAGGCAGCCTGACCTAGAATGAAGCAAAGGATTTCTAAACCTACTCTGGTATGGAAAAGCAAAGGACTGTCCATAGGTGCTTTGAAGTGACAAAAAATACACTAGTGTCAGTTGTGGGCACTTTGCAACTTCTGAAAAATCACTGATTTCTGCCAAACACTGCAGCCTCAGACCAAGCATCAGAACATGGGATCACCCCCAATTCTGCAGTGAGAGAGAGAGAGAGAGAGAGAGAGAGAGAAGAACAATTGGCTCAGGGGTGATCATGTGACATTTGGCATCACATACTACTCGTATTGCAAGACATTTATTAGAAATGTTTTCTTTGTCTTGCAGAACACTCACAGAACAAGTTACTCAAAATCCAAGGTTTTACTGTACATCCTCCTTATCCGCAATGTGATCTCAGTTTCTTGTGGACATACTAACTTCTCAACATCTGTATCAGGAATTTCAAACCCAAATTTGTCCTCCATGACCATGATAATCTCCACTTGGTCCAAACTGTCTAGGCCCAACTCTCTCATAAAGTGGGAATTTATTGAGAGCTTTTCAGGATCAATCTTGTCATAGAGTTTTAAGATGTAAAGAACACAGTCCTTGATTCCCTCTAATGACCAACGGGGTTCATCACGGTACTGGTGGTATAACTGTGTAACTGGAACCTGCATGACCACCGAGGCCAAACGCGAAGCCCCAGGCCTCATACAGGCCCCTGGGGGGCACAGGGTGATATTGAGTGGCTGGGCTGCCGCCAGTGTGGGGACCCAGGGTGGTGGCACGAAGGCTACAGGCAGTCACAGACATGGCAGAAAGGACAAAAGCTGCCATGGCTACACTGACCCAGGATGCACTGCCTCATATTATTTCTTTGATAGAGAGACAGCAGTATATAGTTGTTGAGAGTGTGAGTTATGGCATCAGACTGCTTGGGTTTGAACTCTGGCTCTGCCACCTACTAGCTATTCAATTAACCTCTACATTCCTAATTTTCTTCATCTTTAAGATGGGGATATAATAATACCTACCTCATAGAGTAACCAGAGAATTAATTAGTTAATTAAAATTATTTAAAGCACTGGGTGCCTGGATGACTCATTCGGTTAAGCAACCAACTCTTGATTTCAGCTCAGGTCATGATCTCCTGGTTCATGGAATTGAGCCCCACATCAGGCTCTGCGCAATAATGGCACAGAGCCTGCTTGGGGTTCTCTCTGTCTGTCTCTGTCTCTGCCCCTCCCCCGCTCTCTCTCTCTCTCTCTCTCAAAATAAATAACTAAACTTAAAAATATTTTAAATTATCTGAAGCACTTAGAACAATGTCTATCACATATAGTATGCCCTTAATAAGTATTTGCTCTTATTTTTTCCCCCTCTCTTTTTTCTGTCCCCTTTTCCTGGAATTCCTATTAGTCAAAATTTGTTGTTGTTGTTGTTTAGCTTGTTTTTAATTTTTTAAAATTTACATCCAAATTGGTTAACATATAGTGCAACAATGATTTCAGGAGTGGATTCCTTAGTGCCCTTACCCATTTAGCCCATTCCCCCTCCCATAAACCCTCCTGTAATCCTCAGTTTGTTCTCCATATTTATGAGTCTCTTCTGTTTTGTCCCCCTCCCTGTTTTTATATTACTTTTGTTTCCCTTCCCTTATGTTCATCTGTTTTGTCTCTTAAAGTCCTCATATGAGTGAAGTCATATAATTTTTGTCTTTCTCTGACTAATTTCACTTAGCATAATAACCTCCAGTTCCATCCATGTTGTTGCAAATGGCAAGATTTTATTCTTTTCAATTGCTGAGTAATACTCCATTGTGTGTGTGTGTGTGTGTGTGTGTGTGTGTGTGTGTGTGTGTATATATATATATATATATATACACACCCCATATCTTCTTTATCCATTCATCCATCAATGCACATTTGGGCTCTTTCCATACTTTGGCTATTGTTGATAGTGCTGCTATAAACATGGGGGTGCATGTGTCCGTTTGAAACAGCACACCTGTATCCTGTAGATAAATGCCCAGTAGTGCAATTGCTGAGTCATAGGGTAGTTCTATTTTTAGTTTTTTGAGGAACCTCCATACTTCTTTCCAGAGTGGCTGCACCAGTTTGCATTCCCACCAGCAGTGCAAAAGAGATCCTCTTTCTCCGAATCCTCTCCAACATTTGTTGTTGCCTGAGTGGTTAATGTTGGCCATTCTGACAGGTGTGAGGTGGTATCTCATTGTGGTTTTGATTTGTATTTCCCTGATGATGAGTGATGTGGAGCATTTTTTCATGTGTCGGTTGGCCATCTGGATGTCTTCCTTGAAGAAGTGTTTATTCATGTCTTTTTCCCATTTCTTCACTGGGTTATTTGTTTTTTGGGTGTTGAGTTTGATAAGTTCTAGATTTTGGATACTAACCCTTTATTGGATATGTCATTTGCAAATATCTTCTCCCTTTCTGTCGTTTGCCTTTTAGTTTTGCTGATTGTTTCCTTTGCTGTGCAGAAGCTTTTTATTCTGATGAGGTCCCAGTAGTTCATTTTTGCTTTTGTTTCCCTTGCCTCCTGAGATGTGTTGAGTAAGAAGTTGCTGCGGGCAAGATCAAAGAGGTTTTTGCCTGCTTTCTCCAGGAGGATTTTGATGGCTTCCTGTCTTACATTGAGGTCTTTCTTCCATTTTGAGTTTCTTTTTGTGCATGGTGTAAGAAAGTGGTCCAGGTTCATTCTTCTGTATGTCGCTGTCCAGTTTTCCCAGCACCACTTGCTGAAGAGACTGTCTTTATTCCATTGGATATTCTCCTATTAGTCAAAAGTTAATCTCACTACACTGATGCTTGAACTATCTTACCTTTTCTTTGATTTTCCATTTCTTATTTAATTCTACTTTCTTGAAGATTTTTGTAATCTCTATTTAATGCCTTATTTCATCAATCATTTTAAATACCAAATAGCTTTTATGATACCTGCTTTTAATCTTTCATGATTTCCTCACAAGTTGATGACCCTTGATGGTTTGTATATATTTTAAACTGATCGATTAAAAACTCTTTAGAAATAAGAAGACTTATTTTAGGTAAGCCTCACTTTCGGATGTTAGGATAGAGACATGACCATATGTCACTATGAGGAGGATTTTTCTCTGGGATTGTTCATTTCCTCCAGAAAAGACCTTTCCATTTTTTCCCTGGGGCATTAAATGCAAGTGTTCTGGGGTGGAGTTGGGGTTAGGGGTGGGATAGAGTAGAAGAATGGTTAGAGGAATTAATCCTAAGATTTAGTATTTCAATAAATGTTTTTCTTTTCAGTCCATATCATCTCTACTCTCTATGCTGCCTGGTGTCTCCAAGTCTAGATGTTCCTTTTCAATATCTCTAGAGGATAAATTTCCATTCTCCCACCAGGGCTGGAGTGTGTGCACTTAACCGCCGCCATTCTGTATGTAGGATGGTGAAGGGGAATCAACATTTCACCCACATGGACTGTCGTAGACTCTAAAGTTCTCTTTTGGCCATCAAAAGAGCGGATGCAGGATTAAAGTGAGAGATGGCTAATGTCTGGGAAAAGACAAGAGCCCTGAATAAGGGTCCTTGCCCTGTATTTATTCAGATCAGAAGACTTACAAACGTGATGGGCGTACAAAGAGACAAACTGGGAACATTAACTTGGGGACGTGAGGGAAGATGGGGGTTTTGAAGATATACAGTGTTTGAGGTTAGGATCAATATAAAACAAAATCCTGGTGCCAGGCAGATGGTTGTTAATGGCAGACAGGAGGCACCGTGTCTGTTTAACTTAGCTAGTCTAGGGGATGAGACAAATAGGGGGAATAACCTCAGGGTTAACAAGGCACCTTTTCTTTTGTTAACCTCTCCACTCTGGGCTGCTTTGCCTGCAGTGCAGCAGTCCGTAGTCCAACAGTTCACCAATTTACCTAACTTGGCCCTATCTTCCTGTGAAAGCAGCTTTTCTGCTATAGTACTAAATTGGGGGTGCTTCCACCCTGAATATTTAATCTTGTTTATTTCATATACGTATGTACTGGGCACCTTTGCACCCGTTCCTATTTTGGGCCTTTGCCCCTCCCTCTCTATTTGGGGGGCTCTGCACCCCCTCTGTATTTTGGGGTGCCTTTGTACCTCCCTATTCTTGGTGCCTTTGCACCCCCCTGCTCTTGGGATGGCAATCTGGTTTACCCAAACTTGGGTAGCATTCTGTGACTTTGTATATCTTTATGCCTTGTTAACTCATTGGTGTAAACCCGAGAGATTCCTAAGCTTATTCCCCATAATGGACTGTCATCCTGTTTTTCACTTTGTTCTTCCTCTCCACCTACTTGGTACTTCCAAAGTATGAGAGTTTCCCAGGTTCTTTGCAAGGTTAATTGACTGTTTTCATCAAGTATTCCCCAAGGTTATAGCTTCTCTCACCCTGATAAATCAGGTACCACTCTTCCAATTGCTCTCCCTTTTCTAAAAACATATTGAAATATTTTATCCATTGTTGCCTTCTCTTCTGTTTTCTTTTTCCTTGTGTATTTAAACCCTGTAGCTTATTTTGCTGTTATTTTATAAGGGGAGAGGTAAATGCATATGCCTAATCTGCATTTTTTTAAAACCAGAAATCATCAGATGAATGTTATTTATTTATTTATTTATTTATTTATTTATTTATTTGAGAGAGCGTGCGCACGTGAGAGAGCGAGCAGTGGAGATAGGCAGAGGGAAAGAGAGAATCTTAAGCAGGCCCCGTGATCAGTGTGGAGCCTGACAGGCTTGCACCCACAATTCTGGGATCATGACCTGAGCCTAAATGAAGAGTCAGATCCTCAACTCACTGAGCCACCCAAGTGCCCCCAGATGAATGTTATTTTTTAAATATCTTATGATTGATTTAGAAATTAGGCCTTCTTTGGAAAACTTTCTTTTCAGGTCCTCTGCCCATTTGTTAATTGGGTTATTACATATTATTACTATTATTATTTTAGTGTTGAGTTGTTCTTTTTATATTTTGGATATTAATACTTTATTGGATGAATAATTTACAAATATCTTCTCTCATTCAATAGGTTGCCTTTTCATTTTGCTGATGGCTTCCTTCACTGTGCAAAGGCTTTGTATTTTGGTACAGACCAAATATTTTATTTTTGCTTTTGCTTCCCTTGTCTGAGGAGGCATATCTAGGAAAATGTTTTTAGGGCAGTGTCAGAGAAATTACTGCCTATGTTTTCTTCTAGGAATTTTATGGTTTCAGGTCTCACATTTAGGTCGTTAATCCATTTTGAGTTTATTTTCATGTATGGTGTAAGAAAGTGGTCCAGTTTATTCTTTTGCCTATAGCTGTCCAGTTTTCCCAGCACGACTTGTTGAAGAGACTGTCTTTATTCCATTGGATATTCTTTCCTGCTTTGTCAAAGATTAGTTGGCCATACGTTTGTGGGTCCATTTCTGGGTTCTCTATTCTGTTCCATTGATCTGAGTGTCGGTTCTTGTGCCAGTACCATACTGTCTTAATGGTTATAGCTTTGTAATATAGCTTGAAGTCCAGGATTGTGATGCCTCCTGCTTTGGTTTTCTTTTTCAAGATTGCTTTGGCTATTCGGAGTCTTTTCTGGTTCCATACACATTTTAGGATTGTTGGTTCTAGCTCTGTGAAGAACGCTGGTATTTTAATCAGTATTACATTGAGTAGGTAGATTGCTTTGGATAATATTGACATTTTAACAATATTTGTTCTTCCTATCCTGGAGCATGGAATATTTTTCCATTTTTTGTGTCTTCTTACATTTCTTTCATAAGCTTTCTATAGTTTTCAGTGTATAGATGTTTCACTTTGCTTAGATTTATTCGTAGGTATTTTATGGTTTTTGGTGCATTGTAAATGGGATTGATTCCTTGATTTCTCTTTCTATTGCTTCATTATTGGTGTATAGGAATGCAACTGATTCTGTGCATTGATTTTATATCCTGCAACTTTGCTGAATTCATGGATCAGTTCTGGCAGTGTTTTGGTGGAATCTTTTGGGTTTTCCATATAGAGATTCATGTCATTTGCAAAGAGTGAAAGTTTG